ATGGATGGGTGGATGGATGGATGGATGGGTGGATGGATGGGTGGATGGATGGATGGATGGATGGGTGGATGGATGGGTGGATGGATGGATGGGTGGATGGGTGGGTGGATGGGTGGATGGATGGATGGATGGATGGGTGGATGGGTGGGTGGGTGGATGGATGGACATAGAGGGAGAGAGAGAGAGAGAGAGAGAGGTCAGTAACAAGCCACAATAACAATGACAGCAGTCACAGTAATAATAACCACAATAACAATCATTCTAACTAATCAACAATAACAATAACAGTAATAGTAATAATAAGAACAAGAACAAGAACAATAACAGTAACAATAGCAGTAGTACTAATAAATACCCACTGAAAGTAACGATAACAGTCACCTTAACCATCACAACCATCACAGTAACTCATGACAATAACTGTTCATACTATTAACTAATAATGAAGAACAATAATAACAATAACAATAATCGTCACAATAGTAAGAACTAATCATCATCATCCACAATTACACTTGTCACAGTCATAATAACAGAGAAAGTTGGGGGGGAAGGAAGAATGGAAGCATGAGGGGAAGGATGGATGGACAGATTGAGGGGAAGGATGGATGGAAAGATTGAGGGGAAGGATGGATGGAAAGATTGAGGGGAAGGATGGATGGAAAGATTGAGGGGAAGGATGGATGGAAGAGTGGATGAATGGGAGGAGGAGGGATGGGGGAAAGAAGACAAGAAAGAAGAGAAAGTTGGGGGGAAGGATGGGTGGATGGATGTGAGGAAGGATGGATGGAAAGATTGAGGGGAAGGATGGATGGAAGTAACAAGGGAAGGAGGCAAAGAAGAGTGGATGGATGGAAAGATTGAGGGGAAGGATGGATGGAATGAAGAGGGAAAGGATGGAAGGAAGAGTGGATGGATGAGTGGATGGATGGTTGGGTGGAAAGATTGAGGATAAGCATTGATGGAAGAATTGAGGGGATGGATGGGTGGATGGATGAGAGGAAGGATGGATGGAAAGATTGAGTGGAAGGATGGATGGAAAGATTGAGGGGAAGGATGGATGGAAGGAAGGGAGGATGGATGGGTGGAAGGATGACTGAAAGGTAGAAAAGAAAGAAGAGAAAGTTGGGGGGAAGGATGGGTGGATGGATGAGAGGAAGGATGGATGGAAAGATTGAGGGGAAGGATGGATGGAAAGATTGAGGGGAAAGAAGACAAAGTTGAGGGGAAGGATGAATGGATGGATGAATGGAAGCATGAGGGGAAGGATGGATGGAAAGATTGAGGGGAAGGATGGATGGAAAGATTGAGGGGAAGGATGAATGGATGGATGAATGGAAGCATGAGGGGAAGGATGGATGGAAGCATTGAGGGGAAGGATGGGTGGATGGATGGAAGGAAGGAAGAAAAGAAAGAAGAGAAAGTTGGGGGGAAGGATGGGTGGATGGATGGATGGAAGGATGAGTGGAAGGATTGAGGGGAAGGACGGATGGAAGGAAGAGTGGATGGATGAGTGCGAGGAAGAGGGGATGGATGGGAGGAAGGAAGAGAAGAAAGAAGGGAAAGTTGGGGGGGAAGGATGGGTGGAAAGATTGAGGACAAGGATGGGTGGAAGGATGAGTGGAAGGATTGAGGGGAAGGACGAAAAGGAAGAAGGGAAAGTTGGGGGAAGGAAGCGTGGATGGATGGGAGGAAGGAAGAGGGGAAAGAAGACAAAGTTGAGGGGAAGGATGAATGGATGGATGAATGGAAGCATGAGGGGAAGGATGGATGGAAAGATTGAGTGGAAGGGTGGGTGGAAGGAAGAGGGGAAGGATGAATGGATGGATGAGGGGAAGGATGGATGAGGGGAAGGAAGAGAAGAAAGAAGAGAAAGTTGGGGGGAAGGATGAGGAGAAAGACGACACAGTTGGGGGAAGGATGGATGGAAGGGAGGGAGGAAGGATCAATGGAAGGATGAGGGGACAGATGGGTGGAAGGATGGGTGGAAAGCAGAGGGGAAGGATGAATGGAAGTAAGGGGAAGGAAGGAAGAGTGGAAGGATGAGTGGAAGGAAGAAAAGGAAGAAGAGAAAGTTGGGGGGAAGGATGGGTGGATGGATGGGAGGACGGATGGATGGAAAGATTGAGGGGAAGGATGGAAGGAAGAGCGGAAAGAAGACAAAGTTGGGGGGAAGGATGAATGGAAGGATGAGGAGAAGGATTGAGGGGAAGGATGGGAGGATGGATGAGAGGAAGGATGGATGGAAGGAAGACGGGAAGGATGGAAGGAAGAGTGGAGGAGTGGGAGAAGGAGGGATGGGTGGAAGGATGAGGGGAAGGATGAGAGAAAAGAAGAGAGAGTTGGGGGGAAGGATGGATGGGAGATTGAGTGGAAGGATGGATGTGAGGAAGGAAGAGAAGAACGAAGGGAAAGTTGGGGGGAAGGATGGGTGGAAAGATTGAGGACAAGGATGGGTGGAAAGAAGAGGGGAAGGAAGAGAGGAAGGAAGAGGGGAAGGATGGGTGGAAGGATGAGGGGAAGGAAGAGGGGAAGGATGAGTGGAAGGAAGAGAGGAAGGAAGAGGGGAAGGAAGAGGGGAAGGAAGAGGGGAAGGATGGGTGGAAGGAAGAGGGGAAGTAAGAGGGGAAGGATGGGTGGAAGGATGGGGGGAAGGAAGAGGGGAAGGAAGAGGGGAAGGAAGAGGGGAAGGATGGGTGGAAGGAAGAGGGGAAGGAAGAGTGGAAGGAAGAGGGGAAGGAAGAGGGGAAGGAAGAGGGGAAGGAAGAGGGGAAGGAAGAGGGGAAGGAAGAGGGGAAGGAAGAGGGGAAGGAAGAGGGGAAGGATGGGTGGAAGGAAGAGGGGAAGGAAGAGGGGAAGGAAGAGGGGAAGGATGGGTGGAAGGAAGAGGGGAAGGAAGAGGGGAAGGAAGAGGGGAAGGAAGAGGGGAAGGATGGGAGGAAGGAAGAGGGGAAGGATGGGGAAGGAAGAGGGGAAGGAAGAGGGGAAGGATGGGTGGAAGGAAGAGGGGAAGGAAGAGGGGAAGGAAGAGGGGAAGGAAGAGGGGAAGGAAGAGGGGAGGATGGGTGGATGGAAGAGGGGAAGGAAGAGGGGATGGTGGGGGGGAAGGAAGAGGGGAAGGAAGTGGGGAGGAAGAGGGGGTTGGTTGGGGAAGGAAGTGGGGAAGGAAGAGGGGTAGGATGTGGGAAGGAGGGGGGAAGGTTGTGGGGAAGGATGTGGGAAGGAAGTGGGGAAGGAAGAGGGGAAGGAGGGGGGAAGGAAGGGGGAAGGAAGAGGGGAAGGAAGAGGGGAAGGTGTGGGGTTGGTGTGGGGATGGATGTGGGGTTGGGTGGGGGGGTGGTTGTGTTGGTAGGGAGGGGGATGGGTGGGGATGGGGATGGGTGGGGAAGGTGGGGTTGGTTGTGGGTTGGTTGGGGGGTTGGTTGGGGTGGTTGGGGGAAGGTTGTGGGAAGGAAGTGGGGAAGGTTGTGGGGATGGAAGAGGGGAAGGATGGGTGGAAGGAGAGGGGAAGGAAGAGGGGAAGGAAGGGTGGAAGGAAGAGGGGAAGGAAGAGGGGAAGGATGAGTCTAAGTACTGAGACCGGAAGTGGAGGGGCGGGACTACGCAGACCCCCATAGACTGCTATCAGTACTTGTGACCAGTGGGCGTGGCTAAATGCACGCAGGGGGCGTGGCTACGTCTCTCCCAGAAGGCGTGGTCAACGTCTTTCCATCTACACCGGAAGTGGAGGGGCGGGACCACACAGACCCCCATAGACTCCTATTAACACTGAGAGCAGGGGGCGTGGCCAGATACACGCAGGGGGCGTGGCTAAATACACGCAGGGGGCGTGGCTAAATACACGCAGGGGGCGTGGCTACGTCTCTCCTGGGGGGCGTGGTCAACGTCTAACTGCTCAGACCGGAAGTGGAGGGGCGGGACCACGCAGACCCGCATAGACTGCTATTAACACTGAGAGCAGGGGGCGTGGCTAAATGCACGCAGGGGGCGTGGCTACGTGTCCCCAGGAGGCGTGGTCAAGGTTTAAGTGCTCAGACCGGAAGTGGAGGGGCGGGACCACCCAGACCCTCATATACTGCTATTAACACTGAGAGCAGGGGGCGTGGCCTCCTCTCCCCGGGGGGCGTGGCGTCCTCTCCCCGGGGGGCGTGGCCTCCTCTCCCCGGGGGGCGTGGCCACGCGTCCCCCACCGCCCCCGGAAGTGCCGCCGCCGCCGCCCGCGCGCTTCCGCTTCCGCCGCGCTCACCCAGCAGCAGCCCGTCCAGGTCCAGGATGAGGTGCGTCACCGCGCGCGCCGCCGCCGCCATGGCCGCGACCCCCGGGGCGGAAAGGGGACGGGGGGGGCGAGTGCGCAGGCGCGGGCGGGGCCGCGAGGGCCAGTGCGCATGCGCGGGGCCGCGAGCGGGACGGAGCCGGGCCGCAGGGACGCACTGCGCATGCGCGGGGCCGCCAGCTAGACGAGGCCGGGCCGCAGGGACGAGCTGCGCATGCGCCGGGGCCGCCGCGGCCGCCGCGGCGCGCATGCGCTTCGCCGAAACGGCCGCGGCCGCCGCCGGGAGCATGCGCAGACCGTTTCCGCCGCCGCGGCCGCCGCCGGGAGCATGCGCAGAGCGTTTCCGCCGCCGCGGCCGCCGCCGGGAGCATGCGCAGAGCGTTTCCGCCGCCGCGGCCGCCGCCGAGAGCATGCGCAGAGCGTTTCCGCCGCCGCGGCCGCCGCCGGGAGCATGCGCAGAGGGGTTCCGCCGCCGCGGCCGCCGCCGGGAGCATGCGCAGACCGTTTCCGCCGCCGCGGCCGCCGCCGAGAGCATGCGCAGAGCGGTTCCGCCGCCGCGGCCGCCGCCGGGAGCATGCGCAGAGCGTTTCCGCCGCCGCGGCCGCCGCCGGGAGCATGCGCAGAGCGTTTCCGCCGCCGCGGCCGCCGCCGGGCGCATGCGCAGTGACTTCTGGCACGCGTCGCCGGTTCTGCCGCCTCCCCCCCCCCCCACCCTCTCCGCGCATGCGCAGTATCTTTCGGACGTCTTTCCTGCTCCTGGTTCCCCCACACCCTCCGAGCAGGCGCATGCGCGTTGGGGTCGTGCCGCCGCGGCCGCCGGCGCGCGCATGCGCAGTGGGTTTTGGCGCGTTTCTGGGGCCCTGAGGGTCCCAAGAAGAAGAAGAAGAAGAAGAAAGAGCGGGAAAGACGGGAGACGCGGGAGAAGCGGGAGGAATGACGGGAAGATGAACAATAATGATAATAATAATGATAATAATGATAATAATGATAATTAATAACAGTAATTAATAATAATAATTAATGATAATGAAAGATAATAATTAATGATAATAATAAATAAAATGATAATAGCTAATAATAGATAATAATAATAATTAATAATAATAATATTAATTAATAATCATTAATAATGATAATTAATGGTAATAATTAATAATAGTTAATAATAATTAATAATAATGAATGATAATAATTAATGATAAAAAATGATTAATAATAATTACTATTGATAATTAATGATAATAATTAATAATAAATAATAATAAATAATGATAATTAATAATGGTAATAATGATAATAATTAATGATAATTAATGACAAAAATTAATGATAATAATAAAATTAATTAATCATAATTAATAATAATGAATTATAATAATTAATAATTAAAAATGATTATTAATGATAATTAATGATAATAAGAAATAAAATGATAATACCTAATAACAAATAATGATAAATAATAATGAATAATGATAATAATTAATAATAATAATAATTAATAATAATTAATAATGATAATGAGTAATAATTAATAATAATGATAATTAATGACAATAATTAATAATAATAATAATAAATAATAATAATAATGATAATGATAACTAATAATAATGATGATAATAATTAATAATAATTTATAATGATAATTAATGATAATAATGATAATAAATAAAATGAAAAAAACCAGTAATGAATAATAATAATAATTAATAATAATGATAATTAATAATTAAAATGATTATTAATAATAATTAATAATAATAACTAATAATGATAATTAATAACAGGAATTAATAATAGTAATTAAAGATAATAATTAATAACAATAATTAATAATAATAAATAATAAATAATGATAATTAATGACAATAATTAATGATGATAATAAAATTAATTAATAATAATAATTAATAATTAAAAATGATTGTTAGTGATAATTAATGATAATTAATGATAATAATAAATAAAATGATAATACCTAATAACAAATGATAATAATGATAAATAATAATAATGAATAATGATAATAGTTAATAATAATAATATAATTAATAATAATAATTAATAACAATGATAAATAATAATTAAAATGATTGTTAATAATAATTAATAACAATAACTAATAATGATAATTAATAATTAATAACACTAATTAATAATAATTAATGATAATAATTAATGATAATAATAAAATAATTAATAAGAATTAATAATAATTAATAATAATGATAATTAATCATAATTAATAATGATAATTATTAATAATAATCAATAATAATTAATAATAGCCAATAATGATAACTAATAATGATAATTAATAATTAATAATAATAATTAATGAAAATTAATGATAATAAATGATAATAATAAATAAAATGATAATAATTAATAATAAATAATAACCATAATAGTTACGATAAATAATAATAATAATTAATGATAGTGATAATAATTAATAATAATAAATAATACTAATTAGCAATAACTAATAATAATAATTAATGATAATAAATAAAATAATAATAATTAGTAATCAAAATTATTTTGATAAATAATAATAATAAATAATAATAATTAGTAATAATTAATGATAATAATAACAATTAATAGCAATAATAATAAATAATGGTTAATAATAATAATTAATAATAATAATAATGATAATAAATAATAATAACTAATAAAACTAAATAATAATAATTGGTGATAATGATAATAATAAATAAAATGATAATAATTAATAATAAATAATAATCATAATTATGATAAATAATAATAATAAATAATCCTAATGAATAATAATAATAAAATAATCATAATAATCAGATGATAATTAATAATAAATAATAACTACAACAGCAATACATAATAATAATATAATGAAATAATAATTAAAAACAGTCAAAATAACAACAACAATAACAATAATAACAATAAATAATAACAATAATAATTAATAACAATAATAATAACAATAATAACAACAATAACAGCAATAATAACTAACAACAACAATAATAATAACAATAATAATAACCATAATAACAACATCATTAATAACAATAACAATAATAATAACAACAATAACAATAATAATACAAACAATGACAAAAATAATGGTAAAATTAACAATAATAACAATAACAGTAATGATAAATAATAATAACGATAACAATAACAATAACAGCAATAACAATAATAGTAATAACAATAACAGCAATAAC